TGGGAAGCTGTGCGCGTCCCCCGGCGGCGGCAGCTGCGGGAGGCGAGGGGCGCCGCCGAGGAGCCGAGCCCGCCGAGCCGGGCGCTCTATTTCAGCGGGCGAGAAGACCAGCTGTGCCTCCGGGCCGACCTCGAGCTGCCCCGGGACGCGTTCACGCTGCAAGTGTGGCTGCGAGCTGAGGGGGGCCAGAAGTCTCCGGCAGTGATCACAGGTAGGCAAGGGCGCCCCGGCGGGCGCTGCACCGTTCCCGCGGCCCCAAGGGCGCGCGGGTGCCTGGGCGCGGGTGGCGGGACAGTCCGGGGCTTGCGGGTGTGTCTGTGTGGAAGCCGGCCCGCCAGCGGCGCGGCGGCGCCAGGGACGAGCTGTGAGCCTCCCTTTGCCCCATCCGCTGCATGGGCGCACTTGGAAGGCGCAGTCGCGTGGCTCCCGAGGGGGAGCGTGGGGTGCGCTTCTAGCGGCCCCGAGACCCTCAGTGGAAGCTGGTCTCTGGGGAGTCTCAAGCACGCAGACCGTGCTCTGGGATGATCAGAGGGACTCCATCTCCTTTGGGATAGAGGGTAGGATGACCCAATTGGGATGCAAGTTAAAAAAGCCTACGGGGGCTGTTGATTTCTTTGACTTTTTAATGGGATGACCCTTCTTTATTTGGCCGCGTTACCCCGAAAGCCTGCAAGGACGATGTTATTGTGATCTCCAGGACTTAGACGTCCCCGGAGTGCCCCAAAGTTGCTCTCGCTTGCTGCCTGCCTCTGGGATCCACCCCCAAGCCCAACACACACACACACACACACACATACACACGCACACACGCGCACACACACACAGACTGCCGTCCCATGTTCTTGCTTTTAAAGCCCATTGCCTGTCACTCGGGTCTGGAGCGAGCCCGTCCTAAAGCACACACCACCAGCCTCTACCCCTGTCTCGACTGCGAAACGAGGTGCTTTTCTCATTTAGGACTTTTATGAGCCTGTAATGAATTTGATTTCTCCCTCCTTGCCCTCCCTCTCTCTCCCTTTCGTCGTTCCACAGCGAAACCCATAGTGAAACCGGACACTTTGCGAGGGTTGCAAACCTTAGAAATGCTCCAACATCCATTTTTTTCCCCCTCTAAATGAATCTATGGAAATGCCTTTAATAAAACTGGGGGGCGGGCGGGGGGCGGCGCTGAGGAGAGAAGGAAAGTTTTGCCTCTTCTGGCTGGGAGATTCCCTTCCTGCACAAACAATCTTGCCATGTCTTGGGACGTCTTAAAGTGAGAGTAGGGGTTCCCCCCTTGCTGCAGCCAGGAAACGTGTGGAGGCGTTTTTTTGTTGTTGTTGTTGTTGTTTTTTGTTTTTTGTTTTTTTTTTTTTTTTTTGCTCCCACCCCCTTACACGCTTTCTTAGAAGGGAATGCTCTGAACTTTGGGGCAAGTTCTGCCTCTTTCTGTCTTTCCGTAGCTTGGACTTTCTCAAACGTTGCGCTAACTCTATCCTATTTACATGAAATCCGCTTCAGGGGACCCAAACTCTGCTGCTCTACCAAGAATGTGCTCCCCTCACCCCCACTTTCCCGCTACCAAACCCAGTGCAAGCAAGTGACTTTCCCGAACACCTGACGTCATCGCATGGTATTTTTCCTCTCCCCCCCCCTTCCCCTCATCCCCAGAGGGAACCCGAGCTCATTCACTTTCAGTCCCCAAGTCCTAGTCACTGAGAGGGGTGTATAATATGGAGCAGAGGGGATTTTATTCGTAATAATGATGATGACGATGATGATCATTTAGAGCTGTGATGTGTTTACTTCTTTTTCAAAACATGAAAAGCACAGAGCTTGCTGCTTGAAAATGATTTTTTTTTTAAATTACTAGGTATAATTGTTGCCAGTCTTTACCCGTCCTATCAGTGATTTGGAAGGCTTCCCTCCAGCAAGTAGAGCCCAGGGTTATGTAGATACCATCAATGAAAAGGTAATAAAGGCATTTTAAAAAGACAACAACAAAGAACAAAACATCTGGGGTTCCCCAGGAGACTGCCTTATAAGTGTCTGTAATTCAGACAAGGAGCCTCTCTTCACAACGTTCTCTCGAGCACTCATTCTCTCTCTCTCACACACAAAGATTGTTGCAGTAAAATACTTTAATTGGATGGGGCCATCAGGTTATTATTGCTTATATAAAATGCCTGGTCCATTTTATGTGTGGAAATAACATTCCTCTCAAAAAGGAAAAAAAAAAAAAAAGGGCACTGCTGTCGTGTAGCACCAGAAAGCCAGGAGCTTTTCTCCCGAGGATTCTGGTGGAGTTTTTTTTCCCCTCCCCTAACTGAGTACAAGCCAGATTTGGCGGTGTGTAAACACCTGGCCCTGAGCCAGAAAAGACTCATTCTGCATATCCTCCACATGGTACAGACTGTTGGACTAAAAAGAACCTGCTTCTCCTTGAATTAAAAAGCAAACAAACAGAGGTTCTTGGCAGAAGCACTTTTTTTAGCTCCCTCCTTCATGTAAGTTGGGGCTGGGAGAGGCAGGGCTGAGGTGGGCAGTGTGGCCTGGGGTGCCAGGGCTTGTCCTCACGCTTTGACCTCAAGTGCCCAGTTTGCTACCTGACCTCCGCTGGCTTTCTCTGGCTGGGCATCGACACTTTCCTAGGAATCCTTGGTCACCTATCTTGAGAGAGCAGTCATCACCCAGCAGGGACCGCGCTGCTATTTCAGGCAGCTGCCTTGCTGTCAGGCCAGGCTGCCTTACATCACTCTTTGCTGCAGGATTCAATTGGGTTTCGTAAAGGTCTAATTTTACGGTGCTGTTAACCGGGTCTGTCGTCTGGCAGAGGCAGGCCTCGCCGCTCCTGGTAGGCGGGCTGTGCTTCCAGATCTGCCTGGGATGCTATTTCTGCCCCGGTTCAAACTTCACTGACAACCAGCTCAGACAGGCGCTCAGAGAGGCAGAGGGAAGGAGTGAAGGAGCAGTTTGCTTCTGAAGCTCTGAAAACATGCCTTTTATTTTTCCAAAATGGAAAGAGAAAAAAAATTATTAATAAATAAAAAGGAAAGGCTTATGCAGGCAAGAACAAAGCCAAAGTTAGAAAGTGCTTTTGTGCAGGATTCTCTGGAGGGCCCACCAACGATGGATGGTGGTTAGGATTGAAGAATCCTGTAAGGCTACTGAGAAAAGGCTCCTAAGAGGTTACCCAGGCCACTTCCTCTTGTGCCAAATGGGGAAATAGAGACACAGAGAGGGGAGGAGTGTGTGCTGGATGACACAGCTTGTCGGTGGCAGAAACTAGGATTTAACCCCTGGCATCCCGACTTCCAGTCCTTACCCCCTACACAGCTGAGAGAACTGTCTCATAAACACCCTCACCTCTTACCCCACGCAGACCCACCACCCAGGCACAGACTTCATGCACAGCAATTTGTGCTTCCTTTCAAGTCGCGGGGTTTCTGACACATCCCTTTGCTTTTGTCACACACCAGGCAAGATCCCAACCCCCTCTCCCCCCCCCCCCCCCCGCCCCACCACACACACACCTCCAGTTTTAAAGAAGAAAAAAACCAAGACTCAATTTGCTCCATGGAGCAGAGGCCCTGAGCAGCAGTTAATCTTGTTAAAATTTCTCCTGACCTGTTACATAAGTGAAATGTGGACCCCACAAGTACTGCCCTTCTTCCACCCCCATCCCGCTCCCCTTCCCTCCGTGGTCTGGACTCCCCGCTCAGAAGGAAAAAGGGATTTACCTGAATCCCATCCAGCACCTCAGCTTGCCAGGCTTTCTTCTTTTGTTCTAAATGTTGGACTGGATTGAGTTTGCTGGTTACTCAGAAAAGTCTATTATTTTTTTCTCTCTTCTGGGCCCCCCACCTCCTACTACCCAACTCCTCATCCTTCCGAAAAAAAGTACTTGAAAGTCTCCAACTTCAGAATAGCTGTGGCAGCGAAGGCTAGGCTTTAAAGAGTGCGTATATTAACATGGTTCTTTCCCGACATGCATAGGCACCCCGAGATCTAGAATGTTACAATGGTTAGAACTCAAGTTATCTGAGTGTGAATTCATCTCCACCCCTTACTGGCTGTGTGACCTTGAGGGAGCTAGTTGACTCCTCTGGGCATCAGTTTCCTCATCTACAAGTGAAGATGGCACATGTCCCTATCTCACAGGGTGTTTGTGGGGAGGAAATGAGCTCATACATGGAAAGTACTCATCACTGGTCTTGGGATATAGTAAGCAAGCACTCGGCAGACTGGGTTCTTAGTATTAGACATGATTTTCCAAAGATCTCAGTCTTGACTTTAGGGACTGCAGAAACTTAAATGCAAGAAGGAAAAACTCTCCCTGAGTGCCTTCCAGGAACCAGGTGCTAGGCACTGTGCTAGGGGCTTGCCCTGTACCTGCCCGCTTCACCCTCACAACAATCCTGGGAGGTGGGCATTATTGCCTCTGTTTTTCAAATGAGGAAACTGTTGTCAGATATTCAAAGTGACTTGATTCAAAGTCCCACAGGTAGCCGGGTGGGCAGAGCCCAGATGCGAACTGCAGTCCCAAGTGCCTTTTTCCTCTGCCACCAGTCTTTTTGGAGAGAGAAGAAATTACTTCCATTCTGTTCCTTAGTCTTGTTATACTACATGTTTCCATTCCTGTCTGCATCTCTATGTGCTGACCATATACTTACAGATTAAAGAAGATAAGAACTGAGTATAAATCTCATATGGAGCTCTGGATTTGGCCTTCCAGGTCTGTTTTTCTTTTCATGTCAAATAATCATTCAGTGGAAAGAAGCAGACAAACTAGGCTTGGAATTTCTTTTACCAATTACTTGCTATGGGATTTGAGTCGTCACTTCACTGAACTCTTGTGCCTCATTTTCTTCAACTATAAAATGGATATGATGGTATCAGGATATTTCAATCAAATAAATGTACAGAAAGTACCTAGCATTGTGCCAGCTCATATTAGGGCTTTAGTCAATGGTAGCTGAATCTAAAACTATACCCCCCTTTTCCATTTTGCTAGCTTTGCTTACAGAAAGCGAGGCCTGTTTGTGCATTGTTAGGACTTCCCCTTCTGAGTTGCTGAGGAGTCTATCCAGAGTAGACAGGGCATCTTGGAAACAATTAAACCGCCTCAAATCCCTCCTCTCACTTTGATCTCTACTTTCTTGACCTGCTGGGACTATCTCTTGGTAGTAAGAGCCAGAGGAGATCCTGAACCACTAGGAATTGTAAATAGGA